CTTTCACGCAATGCAACCCCATCCCTGGCAAAACTTTTTCTTGGACTGTTTCAGAATCTGAGCCATGCAATCTAGCAGCCCCTAGGCACGGGGGGTCTGTAAAGGGTAATAAATTAAAATTAAATCAGTTCCTCAGTGCCTGGGTCAAATTTTAAGAGCTCAGGAACCACCTGAGTCCATAGATCATTTCCACCATCAAAGAAATTTCTGGTGGACAATGACAGCAGACACTTCTCACCCTCTTTCTTCCGTGTGCCCACCGAAACTGGAATTGTCCCCAGAAGATCAGCAATCACCCACACGTCCCCACACAATGGCCTCCATTCAGGTCTCATCTGACTTTATCACCAAGTGGCTGTGACTGTAGAAGATCTTTTCCTGGCGGGGCAGCCCTGGCCCTCTGACCTCCCTCCAACCCTGACCGCTCTATCCCTGGCACATCTGCAGCTTTCTCTTCCTCTGCACCTCCCCAGTGAGGTGTTCCCCAGAAGGGTGCCCCATATGGCTTCCCTCCACAGTTCTCAAACTGCAGGACCAGACAGGTGACTTAAAGAAAAGAAGGTTTAGGGCCTCCCTGGTGGTGCAAGGGGTTAAGACACAGCTCTATGAAGCTATCTGCAGCCACTGCGGCAAGAGTTCGATCCTCAGACAGGGAGTTGACCCACATGGCGCAGCAGACCTCTCCTGTCTCCGCGCTGCTTCCCCTCACAGTGTATTTCAGTGGATCTGCCTGTTCTGCTCCCTACTCTGTCTCTAGTGAATCCTCTCACCCCCCCACACACACCTCTGTTCTATACCCCAGTTCTTATATGCATAAATAAATAAATCTTTAAAAAAAAAAAACCTTAGTGGGAACGAAGTGGGTGCCTTTGAGGCTGTGCTGACTGAGGTGGGCCTGCATATTGAGGCATTCAGAGATGGGTTTTATAAATACTCCTGGGGCCTCCCGGTGGGTTGAGCGCAGTGCTGTGAAGCTGTCCAATTTCTGGCCGGCCAGGGAGATTCCCACAAGGCACGGCAGACCTCTCCTGTTTCGCTCTTCCGGTCCGTCTGCCTGTTCTGCTCCCCACTCTGTCTCTGGTGAATCCTCTCACCCTTCCACGACTCTAGCCTGTACCCCAGCTCTTGCATAAATAAAATAAATCTTTAAAAATAAATAAAAATACTCCTGCATGCCAAAAAAAAAAGAAAAGAAAAGGGCCATAGAATTGCCAGTTTGCAGCATTTTTCCCCCCTGTGACATCTCACCTACATCCACAGTTTCCATTACCAGGGCTTCTTGAATCCTGGATGGAAGTTCCAGTCTCAGCTTTCCATCAGTCCTGGTTTCTATGCCCCCTCCCTCTCCTCTGTGACTCCCCAAATCCATGTCCCTCCACACACAAGTTCCCGAGCTGGGCTCAGCAACTTTTCCCAAAAGTGCTCATCCTGCTGGGGTCCTCATCTCCGGACAACCCTACTGTGTCCCAGTCCCCAGGATGGATGTTGAGAGCCATCCTGCTCCCTTCCCTTTTACTCCCCAAAGCCCTTGTGCTGCCTGCATCTTCGCCCTCACCACACTTCTCCGTCTGCATCCTGGCCCTGCCCTGGCCCAGCATCTTCCCTGTTACCTGGACCCTCGCCGGCTTCCTTCCCGGCTTTCTGAAAAACAACTCCTCCTCACACAGGCCCCAGACGGTCTTACCACTGCCAGAGCCAAACCTCCCCTACCCAGCATCCCAAGGTCCCCGTCCCTCTGAGTGATATTTGAGGCCCTGGGAGATCTGGCCTGCCTCCTCCAGGAAACTCTCTACTGACACTGCTCTTTGCACCCTGAACTTCGCTCCATTTTCAAGCCAGGGCCATGACTAGGAAGCAATTCCCACGTGCTGTCCCCACCCATGGGCTCACTTGCCTTCAACTATCAAACTCCAACTTCAAAAGTCACCTTCAAATGTCACCTCACTGCTCCCTCCTCCTGCAGAAACCATGAGTGACAGCCTGTGTCCCGTCCCAGCCTCAGCCAGATGTCTTTCTCAGGCCCATGGGCCCGGGGCCCATCCTCGGCAGTTCTCATCTCGGTGCCTTAAAATTGTCCTCAGCCCATTAGACCAGAGGTTCCTGAACTTTCTGGACCATGACCCCATCAGTAAAAAGGTTGCGCGCACTCACCCCCGATAAATGCAGATCAGTTTATTTAACACAATGGCAAGCGGATGCTGAGAGAATATGTTGCTAACAACACACACCGAATCAGGAAAGTTGACATTTCCCACGCCCAAAAGATTGTTTTGAGAACTCAAAGGCCAGAACCCCCGTGAGAAACTGCAGCTGAAGGCCCAGAGCTGCCCCAAAGTGGCAAACAGCCCCTCCTGGGCCTCGGGGTGTCCCCCGGGCGTGCAGGGGTAATTGCTAGCTTCCAGTGGGAATTGCGAATAATTTCCAGGGCTTAAAGCAGCGCAGAGCTGTGTTTCAGAATCATCGCAAGCATTAACTTGTCTACGTCTCACCATAACCGAAGGGGTAGGGCCTGTTTGCTAGCTGGGACAGCAGATGAGGCCCAGAGAGGTGGAATGATTAGCCCAAAGCCACACAGCCGCACCCCTGGGTGAAAGCTGACCCCAGGCAGGGGCTGTGCTCCTCGAAATTAAGCTGCCTCCAGAGCACCGAGTGTCGGTTTCTTGGACGAACGAGTGAATGAATGAATGAATGAATGGAGACATGAAAGAGACAGAGACAACCAAAACAGAAAGGCGGAAAGTGACAAGGAGACGGAGACACGGAGGAGCCCCCGGGAGGGGAAGACACGGTGCGGCGCCGCGGGTGGACACTGGCCCTGAGTGGGGGCATGGGGAGCTGGAAGTGTCCGCACAGACACAAACCCACCCCGGAGGCCAGCGCCGCCGGGAACGCCCTTGGGGAGTCCGCAGTGACCACAGGGGGAGGGTGGGGCTGCGGGGCGGGGTTTGCGGCGGGCGGGGCCAGCGGCCAGGGGCCCCTCTCGGGTGGGTCCGGCGCGAACTCCTCACCCCGCATCTGTGGGGTCGACGATGAACGCCGTGCATGTCTTCTTCTTGAAGATCTTGGGGATCCAGCTCTGGGGACGGGAACAAGGAGGGCGGGGGCCCCGTTCAGGTGCAGGCAACACGAGGAGCCTCCACCCCGCGCGCGACCCTGCGCGCCAGCAGCCCCGGACCCCAGGCCCTCCTGGCCCGCACCCCGGGTCCCGACCTCCCGGCGCCCCTTCCCACCCGCCCCCGGGAGACCCGGGAGACCGGGCCTCGCCAGCGGCCCCCCCTCGCCCCCCGCCCTCCTTCATCTGCCTCAAGAATCTGGGCGTCCCAAGAATCTGGGAGAGAGGAGGCCAGGCCCCGGCTCCCCTTCCCTCAGACGCGGGCGTCCGGCCGCTGTACCTGCTCCTTCTCGGGCCCCACCATGCTGCTGCAGCCGCGGGCACCTACGCCGCTCCCCACATCCCCTCCGCCGACCGGGGTTCCTGACTCGCCCAGGACAAACCGGATCCGCAGCTCCCCAGCCCAGCCTGGGGCGGGGCAAGGTCTAGGGAGGCGGGGAGAGAGAAGACGCCAGAGCAGGAGGCGGGCGTGGGGCGGGACCGGACTGCGAGACCAGAGGACGGGGCGGAGACCCAGAGAGGCTGGGGACAGAGAAGGGGGTGGGGGTGGGGGTGGGGGGAGAGCTCAGAGGGGAAGAGAGAGAGAGGAGGGACAGATACCCCCAAGAGAGGGGCAGAGACCTATAGAGGGAATGCCAGATATGAGGGTGGGGTACACTGACTCAGAGTTGGGGGACACAAAAGCTTAGGTGGGGCAGAGAATCAGCAATGCAGAGTCTGAGACCCGGAGGGAAGGGGACTGACCAGAGAGACAGACAAGGCTGGGTGTGATCCAGAAGCCCAGAGAAGGGTGGGACAGCGCAGGGGAGCGAATGGAGATGGGGGGAGGCAGCATCCTCCTGGGGGGAGGGAGGACCCAAGACTTTGATGGGGGCAGAGATTTGGGGAGAGGAGAGGGAGAGACCTGGGTGGCCCGCAGCACGCGGAGCCCGGCACAGACAGAGCCCTGCTGGGGCTGGGGAGTGGGAGGCAGAGGCCTTGCCGGCATGGGTGACCAAACAGTAGGGGCGAGAGCAGAACCCACGGCCGGCCGTGGGAGCGGGTGAAGAGATGTGGACACACAGGCAAGGCCACGTGTCTCCGCCTGCTCTCTGACAGGGACAGCTGCAGCCTCCGGGTAACCTGAGCCCCCTGCTTCCCCTCTCTGTATTTATAGCCCTGGCCTGGCTGGCCCCTGGCCCCCAGATCCGAGTTCCAGGGACAGGAGGTCACGGCTGCGCATGCTGGGAACAGAGTTCCTGTCAGCCTCTCCAGGGTGGGCACCCACTCCACACGAAGCTCCCCTGTCACTGCCCGTTCTTCACGGGGCAGCATGGCCCCCTTCGGCCCCTCAGATCAGCCCTGACTGCTCCTCCCAAGGCCTCTGGCTCCCCAAGTTGGCCCACTGAACGTCTAGCCCTTGGCTTCAGCTGCATGACATGAACTTGCTGATAGTCCAAAGTCAAGGGTCTTGCTCCCCCCGCCCCCAGTCAAGGAGAGACCCCTTCACCCACAATGTCCCCAGATGGGAGGAGGAAGAGGAGCAGCAGCAGGAGGGGAGGGGCAGGTGGGGACGCACCCAGAATAACTCAGGCCTGAGAGTAAATTTAGCCACGGGGAGGGGAGGGGAGAGACCCTATTGGCTGGGAAGTGGGGAGGGAGGACCTAAGAGGGAGGTCAGGGGGCTCCTACGAAGGCCTCGGAGGGTGTCCAGAGTTGGGCAGCAAGGGCCAGAGGAAGGCAGGCAGCGAGAGACAGAGAAAGAGAGGCGGAGAGAGACACAGCCAAGGACAGTCAGAGAGGAAGAAAGGCAGGAGCCGGAAAAGAAACGAGGACCCCACCCCTCAGCCACACGGCCGGGGGGCAGCTGGAGCCAGGCCTGGGGGAGCTCTGCCGTGCGTCAGTCCCCATGGGCCACCGTGGGCCATGGCTGCACACTTGCCTCCTCTGGGCTGCCGTGGTCAGCCTGCTCCTCCCCTCCGCCATGACCCAGCAGCTGAGAGGGGCTGGGCCGGGCCCCAGCAGCTGGAACAATGCAGGAGTGGCCGGGCCCTCGGAGGACATGTCGGGGGAGTTTGGCCACCCCAGCCACAGCCAGCGAGGCCTTGGAGATGAGGAGAGGGGGCAGCACTTCCCAGGCCACACGGGCCATGGAGCGGAGGACGGAGACGTCTCCAGGGAATACGGGCATCGACTCCAAGGCCACGACATCGGAGATGAGAACGCCTCTGACGAGGTCTTCACAGAGCAGGCCGACGGGCATGGAGACCACGGGCGGGAAGACACGGAAGATTCCGCTGAGCACCAGCACCACCTTCCCAGCCGCGGAAGTCACGGCCTTGAGGATGAGGATGAGGATGAGGATGAGGAGGGAGTCGTGTCCAATGAGGACCCTGGTCATATCATCAGGCGTGTCCACGGGGGCCACGGAGAGGAAGAGGAGGAGGAGGAGGGTGAATATGGACTCCAGGCCTACCAAGGCCACAGGAAAGAGGAAGACGAGGATGCCTCAGATGAACACCACCAGCACGGCCCCAGCTACAGGCACGGAGGCCACAGAGGAAAAGAAGATGATGATGATGATGATGGTGATGGTGACGCCTCCACTGAATATGAACTCCAGGCCCACAGGCACCAAGGCCATGGGGAAGAAGAAGATGAAGATGCCTCAGATGAACACCACCATCATGTCGCCAGCCACGGACACCGAGGCCACATAAAGGAGGAAGATGAGGATGTGTCCAGTGAACACTGGCACCAGGTTCCAAGGCTTAGCCACCAAGGCCTCGGACATGAGGAGGGGGAGGGAGAGGAAGAGGAAGAGGAGGAGAAACTCAAGTTCAGCCACCATGTTGCAAGCCACCAACCCCAAGGCCACAAAAGCACTGAGGAGGACTTCCTAGATGAGTATAAAGCAGCTGGCCCTGGGCATCACCACCACAGCACCCTCAAGGAGGAGGAAGACACCTCTCTCCAGCTTAGCCACAGGCAACACAGCCACAGAGACGAAGCAATGGGCCACAGAGGGTCCATCAAAGAGATTGGCCACCAGCCTCCAGAACACACAGAGATCGAGGACAGAAGCCATTCTAGGGAGACAGATTCCGAGGAAGAAGACCATGGGTCCCGTGAGGAAGAGGAGGAAGGCTTACAGCAGGAAGACACCCTCCAGGACAGCCTGGACCAGGAGGATGAGGAAGATGAGGAGGAAGCTCAAGGCGTCAGTCTCAGCCAGGAGGAAGAGGAGGAGGAAGAACAAGAGAAAAGGGAGAAGGCTGAGGTCCTGGTCCCACGGAGCCACGACCACCAGGAGGAGGAAGAGGAGCAGGAGGGGCTGGAGGAGGACAAACTTCCCTTCACCATCATCCCCAATCCCCTGGCCATGAGGGAGGTGGCTGGCGGTTCCTCCAGTGAAGAGGAGAGTGGTGAGGACCTGGGTGAGTGGCCTCGCTGGGGGACGGAGAGGAGTGGGATCTGCCTCCGTTAACTCAAGAGGTGGGTCACCTCCGCCCTCCTGTGCCCACAGGTCCTCAAGATGCCCAGGAGTATGGGAACTACCAGCCAGGGTCCCTGTGTGGCTACTGCTCCTTCTGCAATGTATGTTCCCTTCCAAATCCATCACCTAGGGAATCTGTCCCAGGGCCCCTGGGGTGCCTTGGGAGGGCCCTGAAGAAAGCAGGGGCAGGGCAGAAAGACACTTCAGAGGCCACATGGGGGACAGACTGGAGAGCAAGGTTGGGGCAAGGTCCAGCAGCACGGGAGGCCTGAGCTGCGCCTGCGGATATGAGGACAGGAAGGAGGTCCAGAGGCAGAGTAGGGGGCAGGAGGGATGGAACTGGGGGCTGACAGGCTGTGGGGAGAAGAGGAAGGGAAAGAGCACCCGTAAGTCCAGCCCAAAGAAGCGGGGCAGGGCATGGGGTCACCTTGCTATAGGGATCAGAGTATAGGAAGAGAAGCAGGCTTGGGGACAGCGAGGACTTTGGGAAATGTCCAGGAGGCAGGGAGGACGAATGGAGGGTCAGGGTTTCCACCTAACCACTCTCCGCCCGTCCGCAGCGCTGCACAGAATGTGAGAAGTGTCACTGTGATGAGGAGAACATGGGCGAGCACTGCGACCAGTGCCAGGTGAGGCCTGCTCCCAACGCAAGGCTCCTCCAGGCCTGGCTTGTGCAGGACCCTCGGGGTGCATCCACCCCAAACCCTGACCTCTGCCCTCAGACTAACCCAAGCCCTCATTGCTGATGCAGCTTTGCCTCCAAATCTAATCCGGCCTCTGCCCTTCACCTCACTAGTCTCTGGCCCCTGCAGCCCTGCCCCATCCTTACCGGCCCCTGACCAGCCCCACCGCCCATTCTCTCTCCGCCTCCAGCACTGCCAGTTCTGCTACCTCTGCCCACTGGTCTGTGAAACCGTCTGCACCCCAGGTGAGCCTGACCAGGCCCCAGAAACAACTGACGGAGGAGGGGGTACTAGCGGGAGCACCCTGGGGGCGGAGCCACGCCTGGGCGGGGCGAGTGGGCGGGGCGAGCGCCACAGGGCGGGGCCTGGGCCGAGCGAAGTTGGGGATGGATGCTGCAGCCCAGGAGGCCCCAACCGTGGAGGTTAGAGGAGCCGGCCCAGCGCCGAGCGGGCGGAGCCAAAGCAAGCACCCGGGCTACGAGTATGGGGAAATTAGAGCAAAGAGGAATTAGAACCCAAAAGGAATCCCAAAGGAATGAGTTCAGTTTGGGGACGGAATTAAGAAAAAGGGGAGGGGCCAGTACTGAGCGGACTCAGTGAAAAGTGGCTCCCTAATTTCTCCCGTGGAGTCCCCCTCAAGCCTCCTCTCTCCCACAGGAAGCTACGTCGACTATTTCTCTTCATCTCTGTACCAGTAAGTGTGGGGGTGAGGCGGGGGGCGGGCAGGTTTAAGGGTCCTTTTTAGAGAGGCGCCTCCCGCTGAGTTAAAGGACAACCCTGGGGCTCCAATGAGTGGGTTAGTATCTCCAGGCGCCCTGACTTGAGCTTTGGAAACTTTGCTGCCCGCCCTCTACGTCCTCCTCCACAGAGCCCTGGCGGACATGCTGGAAACCCCGGAACCCTGACATGGCCGCAAGGCTGAGGCGCAGACTTAACTCCCTGGCCCTCCAATCCCTTCCCACGAGTCATATTTATTTCTCTGAATAAACGTGCTCCTTAAAACCTTACTGTCAGGCGTCTGGATGCTCGGGGCACTGGGGAACGTAGGCAGGGAGGGATTCGTGGGTCTAAGGGAACAGGGTTCCCGGGTCTTCGAGGTGGCTGATTTGCTCTCTACAGTCCCGACAAAGTAATCAGTCAACACGGGGGCTTTTTGAAACAGTTCTCTTTACCCGTGATCACTGAGAGACGCCTGGGGCAGGGAGGCCGACCAAGAGCCGGGGGCGAGGGCTCCCCACCGTCCTCCCCCTCCCCACGCCACACGGCCCAGTAGCATCGTGGAAAGAGGATTCTCCCATGCAAACCCCGGAGCCAGAGGGGAACGGGGAGCGCACTTCTGCGCCCCCCACCCCCGGGGCACGGACACGGCCACAGCACGGGGGGCGGAAGGGCCCGGGGGACACGAGACACTGGGGAGGGAGAGGGGACCCCGCCAGCAGCTGACCCCGGGCACCGGCGACCGGAGGGCGGCGGGGCGGGGCTCAGTGGCACAGGGGGCGAGGCTTGTAGCAGCGAGTCCCCCCTCCCCTCCAGACGGACGAAGAAGGAAGACTTAGGCCCCGCGTGGGGGGGAAGGGGGGGCAGCCTCTCCCCGCATGCGGCCCGGGAGGGAAGCCCCGCCCCCCTCCCGCGAGGAAAGGGCACCCTTCTCCCTTCGGAAACTCATCAATAAATTACAAAGTTGAGAAAAGGGAGGCGGGAGCTCGGGGCGGGTTTCTGCCTGCCCTCTCCGGTCCCCGTCTCAGTCCGGTTCGCGTGGTTGGTCCAGGCCCAGTCCGAGCGAGCGGCGGGCGCGCGCTCCCCGCTGTCTGTACAGATGGTTCGGTCCGCGCGCTCCCCGCCCGCGCTCCCCGGCGAGCCCACACCGGGCAGGAGGGGGCAGCCCCGGCTCTGGAAGGGTCTTCCATCCGCGTGAGGTCACCTGCAGGGCGCCAGGCAGCGTGTGGAGCAGCGCGGAGCAGCGCGCGAGCCGCCCGCCCCCCGCGCGCCCGCTCCAGCGCTCACCTGGCGGCCGGCACTAGCAGGAGTAGGTCCGGACCGAGACGCCGTCTGCCCGGGAGCTGCCGGAAGTCTGGCCTGCAGGGAGGGCGAGCAGCGGCTCAGCCCCGGGCTAACCCCAGCCCCCGCCCGCCCTGGCCCCTCGGGGGGTTCTCCGAGCCGCGGCCCCAAGCCGCCGCCCCCGGGCCTCCCCCCCGAGCTGGCGCCCGCCTCGCCCCGCGCCGGCTTCCCTCCCGGCCCCGCCGCCGGGGCTCCTCCCAGGTGGCCCGGCCTGCGGGCGCGTTCACCTCCCACCCAAGAGGCGGGGCGTGGGGTGCCGCCCTTCCACGCCCCGAGGCGGGGAGCCGGCTCACTGGAGCGACCCGCCCGTCCCCGGGAGGGGAGAAGGGCGAGGCCACAGGAGAGCCCGGGAGGGAGGGAGGCCGCTGGGGCGCCGGCCGCCCGCCCCGCCCCGCCCCGCCCGAGACGGGGGAGCGGAAGGTCCGCCGCGGGCCGCCCACCTTCCGGCTGCAGCTTGCGGAGCGGGAGCCCCGGCGAGCCCAGGGCGCCTGCCGCGGCCGAACGGAAGTTGGGGGGCAACATCTCGGCCGAGTCGGGGGTGACGCCTCGGAGGTCCTTCTCCCGGAACATCTTCCGCCAGGACGGGGAGCGGCTGAAGGACTTGGCGCTGTCCTGGGTGCGGGCCGCGGGCCGCGTGAGGGAACCGGGTCACGACCCGCCCCTTCCGCTTCAGAGCGCGGCCTTCCGGTCGCACCTGGGGCTGGCCCCGCCCCCGACGGGCCCCGCCCCCGCCGGCCGAGCCCCGCCCCGCCGGCCAAGCCCCGCCCCGCCGGCTACCCCCCCAGAGACGCCTCCCAGCTGCTTCTGGGCCCACCTCGTCCAGCCGCCGGTCTGTGCCCAAGGAGATGAGGTTGCTGAATTCTTTTTCCAGGAGCTGCCGGGCCTGGGGAGGAGAGGTGGGGGCGGGGTTGCAGCGAGCAGTCTGCCAGGTGGGGAAGCCCGGCCTGTCTCGGGCCCAGCGGCAGCTCACCTGCGCATTCTGCGTGGGGATCTGCAGGAGCAAGGCCAGGTCGGAGTAGTCGAAGGTCTCGTCCAGGGCAAGCAGCGCCCCGTGCACCCCGCTCTCCGTGAGGTTCGTGGCGAATTCCTTCAGACCCAAACCAGACACCCAACCCATGACCCGCTCATTGGACCACACCATCACGTCTGTGGAGAGAAGCGACCCTCAGCAGCGCCCATCCCGGCGCCAGAGCTGTCCGAGGTAGCCCGTCCCGCCGAACCCCGCCTCTCTCCTGGCCACGCCCCCAGGCCGGCATCTCCCCAACCCCAAACCGGTGTGACCCCCCCTCACCCCTAACCTGGCTCCCAGTGAAATTCACAGACTCTTCTCACCTCGGATCTGGGTCTGACTCTCTTCCCGCCTCCGCTCCAAGTCCTTCCGGTCGTAGTTGAGCCGTTTCAGGCACATGATCCCGTAATGCAGACTCACCCTGAGCAGTAAGGGAATTGAGGTCACAGAAAAAGCCTTCACGACCTCAGCGACGGCTGCTCCTATTGGCCCTCCCCACTGACTGTGGTCGTCCCGAAGAGGTTGGGGAGATGCTCCATTGGGTGAGTTCTAGCAACTGCTCCTTGACTTGGGGGCATTTTCAACAGGCAGTTCTTACTAACCCGCCTAGCTGCCATAGCAGTGTGGCATCTGCTAGTCCCGTTGCCTCAGGATTTGTCTTATGGGCCACTGAATTGGTGAGAGGGGTACAGGAGTGAGGGTTTCCTGAGAATCCAGGTTAACGGGCCACAGTGTCCAGTCCCACAGGTCAACGACTGTCTAGGAATGGGGCTTCCCCTTGGACCATCCCCACTGGCCAAGCAGCCCCCACCTGTGGAAGCTATCCACCATCTTGAGCTGGCCCCGGAGCTCCTTCTTGTTAAGATGATCTAACATGCGGGCGTCCACCAGCGACTCCATGAAGTAGCTGCGGTACTGGGGCAGCCCCAGGCTGGGCAGCCAGTCGTTCCCCACCCACTCGTGGTTCATGTCGCCATATGCCAGGATCTGGGGCCACGGGTAGGCAGGAGAGGGTCAGGCCCTCTGACCACTTCCCGTGTGTGTGTGAAAGAGGTACAATCCATCCCCCAATCCAAAGTTGTTCTCTTTCCACCCCACAGAAGGACAATGGCCATCTCTGCTCAAGAGCACGGCCCTGTCGACGTGGTCTCTGCTCCTTCATGACACAGTAAACTCCTGTGTGTTCAGAGCGTGGTCCTTGGGCCACAGCACCACCATCGTCTGTGAATTTGCTGGAACTGCACAATCTCAGACCCCACCCTAGGCTACTGAATCAGAACCTGATTCTCACAAGATCCTCAAGTGATCTGAACTGGCCATTAAAGTTTAAGAAGCACTAATCTAGCTCGTCCTAACTCGGGACAATGGATCCTTCAAATATACCCTCCCCCCAACAAAGGCTAATGGACCCATTCATCACTCCTGCACTGTCCCCCAAATACCAGCCTATTCCTGTGTCTGGCAGCCCAACATTTCCTCCACCTCAGGTGAGTTCATGTCTCCCCCTTCTTGAAAATAAAGCGTAGCTCCACCTCCCCAAGTGTTTCTCCTTCCTACTCCCCTCCTCAAACCATAGGGATAAGAGGCTGCTCAGAGTCTCCCTCTACTACAGCAATGGAACAGCCCCCTGCGCCCCGCCACCACGTTAATGGAACGGCCAGTGCCCCAGGCTAACAATGGAACAGCCCGGCCTTCTTCACCCACCCCCAACAAGCCACAATGAGACAGCCCCAGCCGAGCTCCGCGCAGCGCCCCCCGAGGGGTGATGGAATGCTCCGGCGAGGGGAGGGGCGGGCTGGGAGGAGGGGCGTCCATGCAGCGTGCACAGCCTATTCATGCGCCCACGCCCCGCCCCGCGCCCCCTACCTGCTCCCAGCTGATCTCCTTGGTCTCCTGACCCGTTAGTGGGAAGAGGGAGAGAAGGGGTGGGTTAAGGGGCAGGTGGAGGAGGACGGGAGGGACGGACAGACGACAGCCAGCCACAAACTCGCCCCCGCTCCCCCCCACCCAGAGTTAGTGCCACCCCCGTGGCCGCCGGCAGGGGGCACTCACAGGCTTGGTCGTGGCCGTGAGGGATTCCATCTCCTCATGCGTCATCCACACGTTTCCTGTGGACTGAGGGGCAGGGGATGTTATGGAGGGTCTAGAGAGTCGGAATAGGGAGGCCTCGGGTGATGTGCATTTATGTACCTTCTGCTTTCTGGCCCAGAACGGCCAGTCGCAGCTCTGGGCCAGTGACAGTAAAGACAGGATCATTTATTAAGGACCTGCTGTGTACCTGGTAAAAGATCCTGGGTTTTGGGGTTGGAAAGTTTGAATCGGGGACCTGCTGGGCATTTTGCTGTGTGGGTCTGTGCAAATGTCACCTATCCGACAGAATGAGGGTTCTTAAGGAGATGGCTGATATAGCAGTAAGGGAAGGGGGATTTATTTACATTTCTTGAGTACCTGCTCCTAGCAACCCCAAGAGTCAAGAACTCATACACTGACTGAGACATTTATGCGGCTCCTGCAGGGTGTTTAGGCACAGATGTGGTGACTGGGAGAGTTGAATATAGACTGAATACTACATGAAATTAACAATATTAATATTCTTAGTTATGTCAAGGGGGTGGCTGCTACATAATGTGAATAAATAAGGAGAATGTCATTTTTAGAAAATGCCTGCTGAAGTAATTTTTCCAGCTAACCTGTTGTGGTGCCTACAAATTACATTCAAGTGTTGTACACACAGGTAAACAGCAGGCATTACAAAGGGTTAACACGCGCTGAATCAGACATGGGCACACGCCATTTTCTGCATGGAGCCACAGGATAAAAAGGCAGTAAATGCTATGGGGGAAATTAGGTGTTAATGCACTGGGGTGATGCAGGGGTGGCGGTGGATAGTCTAGCTGTTGAGTTAGGGAGGGCTTCCTGGAGGTAGTGTCATTTAAGCTGGGACATCAGCGAAGAGAAGAAGCCGGCCTTAGGGAAAACAGGGGTGGGGTGCTCCACTAAAGGGAGTAGCCAGTGCCAAGGAAGGAGGAAGCCAGAGAAGAAGGTGAGCAGGGTCCCCCGCATTGAGGGCTTTACAGGGAATCTCGTGGATTCGGCTTTTTCTCTGGGCAGGAGCAAAAGAGGCCCCCTAACTAGAGGTGGAACAAAGACAGGGTTGGGGGTAGTGAAGCAGGGGAGGGGGGGCGGACCCCACTCCCCAGTGATTATCCAGGGGAGAGATGATGGGGGCCAGGGTCTCTCCAACTGAGCCAAAGCGAGCAGGCCGGGACAGGCCACTCTGAGGACGAGAGGCGGGGCTGAGGGCCACCGGGGCCGGCATTGGACGCTCGGAGCTCACCGTGCGGGAGGAGGCGGGAGCCGAGGGGGAGGTGAGGGACACCATCTCCTGGATGGCGAGGCGCAGCTTGAGCCGGTGCAGGGGGTTGCTGATGCCGATCTCGCGCTGGATCTCCGTGTCCGACAAGTTGGCCATGATGGCCCCGCTCTTGACGTTAGCCCGACAGGCGGCCACGTACCAGGCTGGCATGCCTACCCACAGCTGGCCAGGAGGGCCGGAGGAAGGGGAAGAGAGAGACAGGGAGGAAATTGGAGGCAAAACGGCAGAGATGGGGCGGGACAGGAGCAAAGACCATGGGAGAGACGGGTGGGGAGACCCAAAGACGTGGGAAGAAATATGGGGAGTGACAAAAACACAGACATGAGCAGAAAAAGAGAATTCCAAAGACATGGGGAGAGTGGGGGGGGGGGTGACAGGACCAGCGTGGGCGTGGTCAGAGGGGCAGGGGTGAGGTAGAAGGAAAAAGAAGCTGCTTAGATCAGCTGGAGGGCCATCCCCCCACGCCCACCTCTGGGCTAGGAGGAGGGGGCTCAGAGGACAAAGCCAGCCCTCGTGGTGGGCTGTCACGGGTTGGGGACCAAGAACGGGGTGTCTGGGCCCCAGTACCTCGAGCCAGGAGACCACAGTGGGACCATCCCAGGCGGCGAAGGGCAGGCCCTGGCGGCAGGCCTCTTCCAGGAGCTCGTGCCTGGGGGGACAGGGTAGGCAGGGGCTCTGAGGGGTGGTGGCCTCCCCCGTCTCCCCCCAACAAGGTACTTTTAATGAGGGTAGAAGACATAGCAGAAGGTTATATGGATTCTCATAAACCCTACCCCTTCCTCCTCCACCTTCTCCCCAGCCCCCCACCCCTATCAAGAAGGAAAGTGAAAACCCCAGGAGCTCCCCAGTGCTCAGGCAAGCAAGTTCAGGAGGACTGACACCCCCTCGCAGCATTTTCTTCTCACTTTTGACCACCAGCCCTACCCCAGCCAAGCACATGGACACACTCACTTCCTCTTGTTCCTTCGGTCCTTGTCTCCTGGGCCAGTCAGCTTGGCTAGCCCCAGAGGGTCCGTGGCCAGTGTCTCGTCTGAGGGTGTTCCCGCTGGAGGTGGGAGGGACCAAAATTGGGAGGGTCTCAAGAGGGAGGCAGAATGATTCTTGTGGGGATGGCGAGAAGGAGGCCAATAAGGCAGAGGCCCAGAGGGAGGAGTCCGTGAGGCCAGAGAGAGGGCAGGACAAGGCCAGACAGGGACCAATGTCCCCTCCAGGCACTGAATTCGAGACATCCCCCAAAGAGGGCTGTGTTCACTGCGCTGGCCTTGGCAAGGGAAGCCTGTGTGGGTTTCACCACTGCCCTGATGTGCAGCATTTGCTCACTGCAGGTTAGAAATAATGCCCCGGCCCCTGCCCAATTTCAAGCTACCAGCGTGGTATCCAGCACCTCACAACATTCCTGCAATTGTACCTACTGGCTCTCCCAAGGCAGCCCCAGCAGGCTCCATCCAGCCCCCCAGTGGGAGGTGCCCTGCCTTAGGGTGCTTCTCCCTCTTTCTCTATTTCAAAAATAGGCAAATGAAATAACAAATTCCTCTGGCCACCCTGTCACGCAGGGGTAGGCTCCAAAGGGCCTTTTTCTTGTCCCTTCTCTTTCCCTCTATCTCTGCCAAGCACTGTCCTTCCACATTCTAAGTAGTTAGCAAATGAATGAATACACGCACGAATCTCAAGTGCATCTATAAAGAAAAAAGAAGGGAAGACGGGAGGAGGGAGGGAGGGACAGACAACAGCCAGCCACAAACTCGCCCCCGCTCCACCCCCCGCCCCCCGCAGAGTCAGTGCCACCCCCATGGCCGCCGGCAGGGGGCACTCACCCAAAGAAGAGCTGTCCCGGCCTGGTGGTCCCATTCGCCCCTTCTCCTTCTTGCCAAAGAGACGGCCTATGGACGACTTGATACTCTTCTTTTTGGGGGCTTTGTGCAGGGAATCTGGGGTGCCCTCACTGGGGGAGCAGGACAGAGTGAGGGCAGACCCCCTCTGGGATACCCCCTCTCCTCCCCAGTGCGCCTCCACTGCCGTCTCACCCTCCCAAACAGCCTCTCTCTGTCCCGCCCCTGCCCCTGCTGACCTTCCCCGAGAGGGTCCCCCGTCTTCCAGGGATCCTGCCTGCAGTGCCAAGGCCTGGGTCATTCTCTCAAGGCGGGCAGAGCGGGGGGTGGGAGGTGGGGTATCCCCCGGGATGGCTGGCCCCTCTCCTCTTGGAACCCCAGCTTCCTCCTTGGGGACATGATTCTGGGGACAGAGAGGCAGAGACACCAAATGGAGTTAGAGAGTTTGTGTTGGGGACCCCTCATTCATTGGCGTGCCTACTCGGGGTGTCTGGGAAAGCGCTGGTTTGGGGCAGCACTTCAGAAGGTCGTCCAGGGAAGAGGGAAACACAGACACGGAGTTCAGGGCCCTGCAGCAGAACAAGCCATATTCATCCTGTTCTCAGCTGTGAGTGTCAGGAGTGGGATCTCCTCGGCTCCACCAAAGCTAATGAGTGGTGGCGTGAGGGGTTAGGACGCAGCACTAAGAAGCTATCTGCAACCACTGCAGCGCGAGTTTGATCCCTGGCCAGGGAGCTACCCACATGGCGCAGCAGACCTCTCCTGTCTCCCCGCTGCTCCCCTCAGCAGTGTACTTCAGTCAGTCTGCCTGTTCTGTTCCCCACTCTGTCTCTGGTGAATCTTCTCACCCCCTGCATCTCTGGCCTGCACCCCAGCTCTTGTATGCATAAACAAATAAATCTTAAAAAAAAAAAAAAAAGCTAACAAGTTACAGGTTCTGGAAGCAGGAAAACTGGGTTTAAGCTGGGTTTCAGTTGTTTCTCCCTCACAGGGCCATTCTGAGGCTCTAACGGCAGTTCTCAAATATGTTTAGTCACAGACTAAACATTATTTTAAATCCTATGCAGTAGCTTCATGAGTAAAGGTAGATCAGACCTGTCTAAGTTGCAAATTAGGATTGAGTTACCCAGCGGCTCACCCTCCCCTGTGCTTTTTTGAGCTGGACTTTTAGGGAAAGCTGGGGTTGCTTTTGAAAGCCACTGGTTGAGGGGTTCTTGTTGCTGTTTGTCAGGAAGCCCTGTTTCTGACCTCCCGGCCCACCCACCACGCTGGGGAGACTCAGAACACTCACAGCTTTGTCGGTGCCCTCACGGGCAGGGCTCGGGGG